AATTGGAAGTGCTGAGTTAGTGGTTGGACTCAATGACCTTAAAGGAATTTTCCAACATAACTGTGATTCTAAAAAAAAAAAAAAAAAAAATCCCTGAAAATGTTACTCTGTTTTGCAATGGGATAATTTCTTTGACAAAGATGTTTGCACAGCCATTTTTTGGTGATGTGCATCTCTGGGAACATATCTTGGGCACTTCCCATTCAACCTGGGCATCCTTGTATTAAAAGCATGTGGATGTGCTTTTAGTTCAGATTAGCACAGATTGGAATATCTGTCCACCTTGAAAACAGTAAAAGGTATCCCAGTTCTGTAGGAAGGTATATGGTTATGAATCCTCAACAGAGAGTAGGTGCTGTGTTTTGGTTTTCAGTATTTATCCAGTTCTGACCTTTCTGATGTTTTTCTGAGATGTCAATTCGGAAAGAGGGGGAGGTTGTGGTTTTTTGTGTGCTCCTACCCAACAATAAATGTTCAAAATAATGATGTCTGGCTGCGCTGAAAGCACATTTCTGCAGCGGCGGCTTTGCCACACAAAAAGTTGGTGGTGTCAGTGGGTCTACAGGAGAAATGTAGCAGCCATGTATTTGAACAGATTTCCCTTTGAGTGCAAAGGATTTCTACCACAAGTGCTGATTAGTGAACTTAATTTTCCCTACACAGCACATATGCTGCAAGATTTCACTTGTCTTTTCTGCTTTTTCCCTAACAGTTTCTGTGAAAGCGAAGGAAAAATGTAATGTGTGTGATGCTCTCACATCTTCCTTTTTCCACAGGAAATGTTTTTAGCAGAATTTAAAGGCCCTTTCTTATTATATCCAAGCTTCCCTTTTCAAGCTGCAATACTTCTTCTACCTGTTTAAACCTGTTTCTGGAGCACAGATAGATGAAATGCTGAAGGCTTATTCAAGTGCATGAGAAAGCTTATTTCTATGGGGATTTTGCTTTAAAATGGAGGGCTTATATTACCTGCTGCAGTGCTCATAGAAAGCAGTGTCTTCTGAACTGTGAGTTCAATATGAACGAGTCCTGCAACTCCGTTAGCGTCCTAAAGATGCGTAATACCTCTTCCCTGGAACCCACGGATTCCAAGAATCAAGGGTATGTGCTTAGGGAAACTTTAAGTGATGGAAAAATTATGACTTCTGCCTCCGATCAAAGCAGAACAAAGCACTTGATTGCTACCCTCTCTCTGTCATTGCAGTCTCCTTGCAATCAGGGAGCTCTCCGAAGGAGAACACACCAAGAACTGCAATACCCAGAAAAAGAGAAGGAGCTTTAACTGAGAATAACATCCATGAGTTCAGCTGCCCATCTAAAATTTAGGCAGCCTTAATGAAGTGACTAGCTGGTCCAGGCTCCTCTGTGTGTAAGAAGGGGTTGTGATGCCTCCTTACTGCAGACTGGCAGTTGATGACCTCAATTACTTTCCCCAGGACTGCTCATCTGAAAGCAGGGTTGAGTCCTGAGGAAGAAGTGCAGACTCAGATGTAACAGGCTGGAGTTTCCTTCTGGGTGTAATATGCTAATGGCAGAAATATATATTTTATGAAAAGCTTGAATTTAAAATGAAGGTGAGGTGATAAACCATACAGCTGTAACAGGGCTGCCAGTAACTCTGTAATGATAAGGATGCATGATTAGAGTAGCAGTAGAAAGTTCATGGACCCATCTGACTTGCAAAGAGGCAGTCCCTGCCTGAGAGCAAGGGTTGTGACTTCGGAAAACAAGGTAGGAACGCCTATGTTAATGATAGTTTTTTCTTCTCTGAGTACCGTGAAAATGCTTGTATGTAAACACATGGTGCCACTGTCATCTGCATTTGCAAACCATCGCAGGCGGTGCTGTTAGAAAATGCATGAATAGAGTACAAATGTACAGGATGGAAATCAGAGCCCGAATCACAAAACACATGTACTGGAAACTGTGGAGAGACGATAGAGAGACACAGAGTCCCAGACTGACTCAACAGCAAACTCCTCTCTGCCATTTAACATAGAATGATTTTTTTCTCTACAGAATTGTTATAACCCGTTTTTATTCTGGTATTTGATTTCTCTATGGAACACCATCCTTTTAATTATGTTCAAATAAAATTCTGATTTGTATTACAACCCAGTCCATCTAATCTATCTATTTCAAGGAATCTATACCGAAGAAAAACAGGAGAATCGTAGTGGCAAATCACTCCCGATAAAAAGGATACGTTTGATTTAAATCAAAGTAATTTAAACCAACAAACCAGAAATCTGCATTTAAATAAATTATTTTAATCTTGATTTGTATTTGCACTTTATTATTTTTTTCCTTGAAGAATACCAGGTTTTCATTGGTGTGCAGCCTTCTCACTGTGATTATTATGGCTAAATATTACCCCTTACACTATATGGGTGTTTCTTTTATTTTGCAGGAGGGTGTGCAGTATATGTACAGATCTGCATCACTCAGCATGCATTTACTCCCTCGGGCTCTTGTTTACTCTCAATCAGTTTATTTTTCTGCTCAGGATTTGCTTCAGACTGGCTTTGTCTGGCCACTTGGGTTCGTGAGGTCTGTCCTTCCAGGCTTTAAAGCAGGGATAGTCCATGTCTTTCCCCTTCCCCATCCAGAGCTGGGGCCTTGGGTGAGCACTGAGTGCCTTCTGGAGGAGGGGGGAGCATTTGGGAAGGCAAATACTCCCTCCACCTCTCCCTCCAGGGCCGGCGGATGCTCTCCAGAGCCTGTTTGGTCCTGGTGGCACATCCGACAGCTGCTCCCTGCCTGGGTGCTTGGCCATAGCAGCCATCATGTGCAGCTTAAGCAGTCCTTCCTACATTTTCTTTATGGAACTGTACTTGATGGATTACATCCAGCTGGGCCTGAAATGGTGGTGGAAATTCTTTTAAATTTCAGGCCTAATTTTACAGGATTACTCCCGAAGTTATCACCGGGGTTTATCTTAGCTGCGTTTCTAAACTCCAAAGCCCCACCAAGTGCCGGCGCTGCCCGACACTTGCAGGTCAACAAGCAGGGCCCTTCAGCCTGAAATTGTCCCGGGTGGAGGCACACCCGAAGCACCCCGGGGCGGCGGGGGCGGCGGGCACTGCAGCCTTACGCATGCCCTGCGAGGAAGCCGTGGGCGGACGAGGTGACTTAGGAGGATGGGCACCCGCCCGCCGCACAGACTTCCCCCTGCACCCCGGCGGGGAGAGAGCCTTTCGGCAGCCCGTGGCAGCAGCCAGGCACCCATGGCCCGGCGCTGATCCCCTTCCCTGCCCCGGGGGGGGTGGCCGCTCACCCGAGGAACTGAGAGGTACCCTGGGGCACCGGCGAGGGAAGCGGGGCAGGCTGGGCTGGCGCTCGTGGTTTTTCGGGGAGGCAGCAGGCGGGAAAGGAGAGGGATGCAGTGGCGGGTGCTGTGGTTCCTAACCGTGTCCCCCTCTCCCCGTGTCCCAGGAGCTCCAGGAGGATGGTGTGCCTGGCGTTGAGGACGTGGCTGGGGCTCGGGCTCTTGGCGCTGCTCTGCCTTGGTTTGGGTAAGCAGGAGCGGCCGGTGCGGGGGCACGGGAGGGGATCGGGTCCCAGCAGGCAGCAGCACCCGTGTGCCAGTCAGCAGGGCACGGCAGCCCCCAGGACACTGTGTCCGGTGTCTTCTGCCAGGGCTGAGCCTGGGCCAGGGTTTGGGTGACCGGCGCTACTCACCACGGCAGTGAGCGCTGAGCATCCCTGAGCTCTCGGCTCCCCAGGCCAGTTGCACCAGCCTGACAGCTCCCAGAGGGGCGAGTTGGTCTCCAATCCCAGCCAGGGTGAGAGAAACGAGGGTGTTTTTGGGGCAGCTGATGTCTGTGGGGAGCACACGGTGCGGCCACTTGGGCTTCGGTTTCCGTGGTGGGGTGGTTTCTGCAGTTTTTTGGATGGTTAACAGTGGGTGTGTGGTGGCAAAGATAAGGAAAGGCAGCAGGTCAGAGCTCTCTGAACCTCTCGGTCAGCTCAGCGCAGTGCAGAGCGAGTTCTTTCTCCAACAACACAAATTCCCGTTGAAGTCCTGCCTGGGCTGTCCCCCCATCCTTTTTCGAGGACCTGCCGCAAAGCTGACTGGAGCCCACAGATCCCTCCTGACCTCAAGAGGCTTGGGATGAGTCTTCTCAGCTGTGTGAAATGTTAACCTTGAAACCACACAAAAACTCACTTCGGAGCTGGGGTTCATTGTGGATGCAAAACAGATTGTGCTTATTGGCAATTTTAGTGTTTCACTGCAGCTAACGATACTCTAGAGCAAACCTGGGCAGAACCGAGGCTTCGATTAAAAATCAAGTGAGGCAAAATTAGGAGTTTTTCGTGCTGATATTGTGAAACTGGGGGATACTTGGTGCCCGGTTTCATTTTAAGTTTCAATCTCTCTTAAAACAGAGAATTTAACAGGGAGTGAATCGCAGAGCTCACTTGAAAAGAAAGCAACTACCTCAAATGCCGCTCTGAGATCTTGGCTCTCCTGTCTTACCCTCACTCTTTCCCCTACCTCTGTCCTTGCAAAGCATGTGTCAAGCACAGACTATTCTGCCCATATTGCAATGATCTATCATGAGCAGAACTGCTTCTCTCCCTGTATTTTAAGAGCTTGTAGTAAGTTATTAATGTAATTACAAGCACGTGGTAATTCGCCTGTCACGTATCTTCTCTAAAAAGGATGCTTGTTCCTCAGCCAAAGATGGGCAGTGCTTGAATATACAGTCTGATGCCTGCAAATGTCCACTACTAGAAACAGGAGTTCGATAACAGAATAACAGATAATAGGTGCTCCTCTAGTTGTACTTTTTTTTAATATGGTTTACTAAGTGCTTTTTTTTAATATGGCTTACTAAGTGAATGATAGTTTATCCTGCTTTCCATCTCTCCCTCTTTGTATTCATCCTCTGCTTGTAACTTTCAAATCCCCTGACCAATTTCACCCAAACTTGACAGGAAGGCAGAGGTGGCAGAAATGCAGAGGTCCTTGGCTGCTACTTGGAAGCCACTGGCTAGCCATGAGCAGCACCCAAATAGCCAAAGCCTAGGGTAACCCTCCCCATGTCCAGACAACAGAAAGAGCAGGAGGCAGCTGCAAGGGAGCTGTAAGGAGCATCGTGGCACCAAGAGCTTGGGAGCAGGCTGGGAGGCATGGGAAGATGTGCCTGGGCTGGGAAACACAAGGCACAAACCCACAGGCCAGCAGGATTTGGTCATCCCGTTGATGAGAAAACTAACTTCTCCAAATCTGATTGATTACAAAATTCTGGGGTTAAATTCTGCAGGAGACGGAGAGGAAAACCAAGCTATTCTAAAAACATTATCTCAGGTTTTGGAGCACAGTTGTTAGATGCATCTCATACAAGGAGGTTGTGGAAGTCCTGGTGCTCCAGGGGCAGATGCTCGGCAGACTGATAAGAACAGAACAACTGATGCACCTCCTTTCTCTCTCTGTACGCACACATACACACCCTGAAACTTTTCTCTCTGAAAATCAGTGTTCCTACATTAGCGACACTTGAAAATACTTGGTGCAGTACCCACAAATGAATGGGTTTCAAAGGTTTTACTGATGCTTGTAGGTGATGCCTTCTCTAGGTCAACCACGGGGAGTTCTGACTTGGTTGTGGCAAAATAGTGAAGCCCTGGGCATCTGCCATCATCCTGCAAGTGACTTCCCACACGATGTTAAGCGAGTCACCAAGGCCAACATTTACAGAACTGCCACCATGTGGGACTGCTTGTGACCACATCAAGGCATGGTCAGGGCTGGTTCCCAAAGCCTGTGTCCTTGGCTTGGCCCAGCTGCCCTGATGCTGGCACAGCTCCATGATGTAACACTCGGAAAGGTCAGGGAGCACGCTAGGATGGAAACAACTGCTCTCTGTAAACCCTGTGTGAGCAAAGTAGTAATACAGGGAATGCCAGGCTGAATTTTCACATCATAGGAGTAGAAGGCATTAATGGGGGGCTTTATTAAAAAGGATGATTTGAAGTTTGTATTTCATAGATGAATTTCATGTATGTCCGAGCTATGCAGACCCATTTGTTTCCCCTTGAATTGAATTTTGCTACTCTGGCATTCACCTGAGATGCCCCACTGAAATACCAGTGTAATTTAAAGCTGCTTCTGAGATACCATCTGCTGCTGGAGACACAGATGTCTTGCTGTCTCAGCACAGTGGAAAAGTGGCAGAACAGCCTTGATTGCAGCACAGACTTTTTGATTTATGATCTGAATGCACTGCTGGTATCCCCATGGGCTTGTTTTTCTCCTGCCATTGCACCTTCACACCTACCTACAAATTGTAGGATGTTCTCAGTCACAGCTGTTAGATAGGACAACGTGGCTGGAAGTCACTCAGTATGACCTTTCCCTGCCCTGTGTGCAGACATGGTGTAGGCACTGACTGCAGGGACCCAGCAAGCCCGGCTTTGTGTCCATGAAGTATTTTTAAGCTTCCCTGGAGCTTTTTCTTCCAGCTAGGGACCACTTAACTGTTGGTTTCTTCCCAGAGGTGAAATTTTTTGAGAAGTTTTGAGGAAAATTCCCTACAGCTTTGGAGAGTTGGGAAGTGGGGGGGAATATCCACTTCCCTCTGCATTGTGAGCACTGGCTCACAAGTAACTCACTCTGGGAATCCCCTCCCACATGTTACTGCCAATAAAGAGCTTGGAGTGGAGCTGGGTTTCAGAAAGGGACAAATAGGGTTGAGAAAGATTCCCTGTTTCATGGCCACCCCCAAATACTGAAGTGTCTAACAGTGAGCTTTGGGTGTTTGGTGTCTAATTTCCATTCCAGCTCCAGTAGCTGTTGTGCTGGGGCAGATTTCGTGGTGGAGGTGGCAGAAATTTTTCTTTACATACCAAGTTTGCCCACTTGATCACATGGTGCAAATTGAGTTTCTACCTTATTCCTCTTAGTGTCTTCAGCTGTTGTTTAAATTTCTTTTTTCGGATGAGTTTCTGTCTCGCCCTGTTCCAGATATGCAGAAAAAAGTCTTTACTTCAAAAACAAGGGCAGTGAAACTAAGGAACTCCTCTTCCTGTCTGTCAGTCTATCCAGAGTGAAACCTGCTGTAAGAGCTTACCTGGAGAAACAGAAACCCAGCTAAAGGCTCCTGCTTTTGCTTATAGACTCTGTTTTACTTCTTCTGTTGTGTGTTTTTTAAATGAAAGAATTCTTTAGGGAAAAAAAAAAGAACAGAAAATTAAACTTAGACAAGCCACATTCTTACACAGCCAAAATGCAGTTACATGCCTAAATACCAAGCTTGTAAAGCTACAGGTCAAACGTTCCTTTCTCCCACATCATTTCCTTTTTCCGGTTAGATCGGAATGAACCCCGATAGCTCCAGTGACCTCATGTTGCACTGAGGGCAACCACTTTTTTGCATTTTTTGGATCACTGAGACATGTGTGTCCTTTTTGCACTGTTAATGTTGGACATTCCTGCATTTAAACATGCAAAGTTTGGGGTGGAAGTTTTCGCTAACCGTGGTAGGTTACCAGCAGGAGTTGCCACCCTGTGCACCCTCACACCTTTCCCGCTCATCGCTGCCTCAACTCTGAGTTTCAAATGCAGTTTAATGGGTGTTACTAATCTGACATAAATGAAGGATGTCGCTGATGGAATTATCCCCCTGCCTTGCTTGTGGTGAGTTAGTTTTCTGTTTGGGCCAGCCCTCTGTCTTTGGTGCCAGTTTGGTTTTACACCGGTGCTCTGTAACCCGGAGGGGAGTGGATACAGACAGGATGCACAGCTGAGGGGACAAAGAAGGTCATTGCCATCAAAAAGCACAGTCCTGCTCCTCTCTGGCTACATTGATCCTCCTCTCCTTTGTACTAGTTCTAGCACATATCTGATCCTTGGGTGATCTACTTCACCTTCCAGCTCAGCAGAAAGTCTCTTTTCCCCCCTTTTTTTATACCAGTGTGGTGTATTGAACCAGGCTCTGGAGAGCCCTGCAAGAGTGAGCACATGGGATTGGAAGGGGAGAGGGAGACATATCTCCTGTACTTGTGTTGGGAAGACATGAGATCAGTGCCAGTTTGTTGTCTGGCTGCATCCCAAGGTTGTGCCAGGCTGGGGGAGAATTTCCACATTCACAGAAATTCTCATAGGATTTCTTCCCACTTCCCACTCGTAGAATCATACTGTGGTTTGGGTTGGAAGGGACCTTAAAACTCATCTTGTTCCAACCTCCCTGCCATGGGCATGGACACCTTCTGCTGAACCAGGTTGCTCAGAGTCCTATCCAGCCAGGCCTCGAATACTTCAAGGGATGAGGTATCCACAGCTTCTCTGGGCAACCTATTCCAGTGCCTCACCACCCTTATAGTAAAGAATTTCATCCTAATATCTGTCCTTACCTTCCCTCCAGCTTGTCCTATCACTACCTGCCCCTCTCCAGCCTTCTTGCAGGCCCCCTTTAGGTACTGGAAGGCTGCTCTAAGGTCTTCCCAGAGCCTTCTCTCCTCCAGGCTGAAGGCTTCTCTTTCCTTTTAAACATGTGCTTCCTTGTATAAA